TTAACTATTTAATAATTACAGTACAACTTTTTGACTTTGATGGCTTTCAGGACATTTAAATATCTTTTTTAATATTTTTATACTATTATAATTAGGCTTATGTTATGTCTATGTTTTTTTTTTTATTATTTATAATATTAGAAATAAATAAATGGATGTTTTTATGGTAAAATCTTATTACATACCTGAGCTACTTTAGATGAAAAGAAAAATATGAAGGTACACCCACAAGATACAGACTAAACTTATATGCTAATGTACATATTGGTGTTTGTAAAGTACAATAAATATTTTCACTGGAAAAAAAATTTCAATGAAACAAAAGAAATATTTTCATTGAAATAAAAAAAATATAAGATAAAAAAACTGATTCATGAATATTACAACGAAAAAATCAACCTAAATAGCAGAATAGTAAAAAAAATATGCACAGAGATACGCCTTTTGATATCACTTAGATTTAACATCCAAAACTTTTTAAAACAGCACAAGTTTTAATCAAAATGTTGACAACTTTGAAGGAAAAAAAAATTAACCCTTGTTCTTACAAGTTACATTCTATATATGGAAAGCCATCTTAGTCTAAATACAAACAAGTTTTACAGTAAGTATTGGGAGTCTACAAAAATACACTCAACTCTCCAACACATAAAATAAATAAAAAAATATATATACTATTTTTAAAATTACATGAGATTTTTCTTCAAGTTTTCCAGTCCTCTGCTAGTATGACTAGGGTTTCACCATAGGTCATTAATAGTATCTATATTATATATTGTACATTTTATTATAAAATTCCCTAATTATTAGTAACATTACAAATATTATTTGTGTATGTCAATGGTGACTAAGATGTTTTATGTTACTTCTAATATTTATATCTAAGTAGATATACTTAACCAAAAAAGAAGAGGCTTTATTTAGTTTCCAGTTTATTTACGTGTAAATCACCACATGGTCCATGAAACTAATACAAATGATAATTTTTTTTTTTCTTTCAACTATTTCAACCGATGGTACCACTGGCTGCTTAGTCAATGAATATTGAATGTTTCCTTGTAAGGAAACAACTAACATTACCATTAACCATTACTCATAAGAGTCATATCTTAGAAGCAAGAATTTCTAAACTTGCAGGTCTCAACAAGTTAGTGCAATTAATTAAGAATTCTTTAATAATTAAGTAAATTTTTCAGTGAATTATTTTCTATATACATTTTTAATTATATATTTGGTCAAGTGGTTAGAATGTTCGCTTTCTGACCATGAGACTCGGGTTCAAATCTCACCAGGGTTGATTTTTCAGGAAGGTGACTTCTTGATGTTATCAGACTGGAGAAAGCGATCTCAGCATGTGGCACCTTTGGAAATGTACCTGCAAAATCATACCACAGTTTAACCTAAGTCTCGTGAGTGAAACTGGGTAGATGGAACTCTTTCAGGAGCCATTGATGGTTGTGCTAGCACAAAGTCACAAGTCATTGTGACCGAGGGTTTGAGCATGCTGGCCTTGTTTCGACTGTTGATCATGCTAAATAACACTCTCAAAAACTCTAACTAAGGTCCACTCAGCATAGTTGCAGTATAAACCACGAGTGGGCTCTGTGGGTGTTGAACAAACACAAATTTGACTGCGCAGGCGCCTGCAACAGGGATTAATTAGCCACCCTAGTAGATAGCCATCTTCAGATATGAGTAGCCAGCCATCCATCATTTGACTTGGCTAACAAAACTTAAGTAAATGTGTTGCGAAAAAAAACTATTTTTAAAAAGTGTGTCACCAATACAAAATATTTTGAAAGCTCTGTTTCAGAGCTCACCTTAAATCAATAATTGTTATTATAATTGAAGAAGTTTCAACCAAATTAATAAAAAAAAATTGTCATCTTTTTTTTGCAAACATTTTATCAATTGTGAAAATGTGATAAAATTTAGCTTAGTAAAGTTAAGATGAACCACTTTATTTGCACTTATTTTTTTTGTGGGGGGGTCCTTGTTATTATCCTGAGACACAACATAAAAAGATGTGTAGAGAGAGAGAGAGAGAGATTTAGCACCAACAAAACTCAGTTTCAAAAATAGAGGTAGTCAACTGAAGTTCATTATTCCTTCCTTTCTTCCCCCCACCCAATAACTCAACTTGAAACTGAGTAATTGTACATTGATAATCAAAAATACTTAAATGCCAAAGAAAACAATTATAATATCCCTTCCTCAAAATTATAAAATGTTGCAATTATATATATATATATATATATATATATATAGAATACTTAAAGGAATTATTTAAAGGATAAAGGACTTATCTAATAACTATTAGAAGTATAATAGAATTAGACCTTTATTTTATCAGTTTGTTAATTGAAAACAATAATGTACAAAAATGATTCTATCGACTTGCAGTCTAAAGGGAAGTAACCGCTTCATGTTAATGTATATTAATTCACAAGAGTTACTCTGTCTATGTAGAGCTTACAATCAATCGTTTTTCTACTTATCTTCAGCAAGGCCTTTCACATTTAAAGCATCAATAAGCATACTCACAAACAAATAGCCATCATAAAACTAAGCATTTTTTGTATCCTAAAAGCTTTTTAATAATAATTGCATTAAATAATCTCTCTCTCTCAGGTAGTGAGAAAATCGAGTTTCTTTCTCCAGTTTTTTTACTGTTAAAAATATAAACATTTTTAATAATTTTTCAAGGAAACGTCTTATATTACTGATTTAATATTACTAATAAGTTTTGTCTCTACTGTTTTTCTTGTTTAGTTGATGTTATAGGCACTGTGATTCGATCAATTTATTTGGGATGCTGGTACTGATAGACTGTATCATGAATAAAAGAAATTTATCAAAATCCCATTTTCAAAAACATAATTTCACAAGTGTATTTATAATCTTCTATAAAAAAAATCAAGACATTGTCAACAAATAATGACAGAGTTGCTTAGTCTTTGACTGCCAATCCTGTTGGCTGCAGGCATTGACTTACATTTGTAATAAAGTCAATAAACATGTATGAATTATCATCTGGCTACCAGGGTGCATATGATGTGCAAGTTGGTAACTATGTCTTAATATTAAGATAAAAGTGCAATTCAGTAAAACTCTTGAAATACTAGATAATTATTCTGTTGCAAATTTTCTATATAGATTAATCCTATTTTTCTGAATCAATATACAGGACATCTCAAAAAAACATATACATATTTTACTTTTTTTTTTTTAGTATCATGCCAAGAATTAGAGAAGTTTTAGTAGATGAGGAATTTTATTTTCAGTAAAATGCATCACCGCTACACTACCATCATGGTGTATGATCATACCTGGATGAAATCTTGCCAAACAGATGGATCGGAAATGAAGGTCCTGTAGAATATCCTCCTCGTTCACCAGACCTCATCCATTTAGACTTTTTTTTTGTAGAGTTACTTAAAAGATAAAGTCTGCCCTGCAAAGCCAGCAACAATTGCTGAAATGAATGTTTTCCACAGAGAAAGAATGCAGCCAAATATTGAAATGTTGATTGCAGCTTGTGATTCCATTGCGTCATCTGTCAGCAATGTGTGGAGACATCAATTTGAAAACGTGATGACAAAATCTTAAGAGGACGCATTTGTAATAAATATTGTCTTCATATGCATTATTTAAATTAGATATAGCTGGTTCTAGTTGCTTAAGTTATTTCTTGAGAAAGCTTCAAAACGTGTATACATTATTTTGAGATACCCTGTATATATAATATCCGTTAGTAATAACAATTTTATAAACTTCTTTAAATAATCCCAGTAGCTTGTTACATAATACTGGTGGCGGGGGGCTTCATCTCATCACTAAAAAACAGTGTTTAAAAACAAACTGGATCTAAAGAACCATGCTTATTGATAGTCGCATAAACTCACTAATAAAAAAAAATGACTGGTTAAGTAATGCAAATATTGAATAGTGATTAAGATTTTAAACAATAGCAACAAGCAATGGGCATTGATGTCTTTGAGTGCCACAAGTGCTTATTTGGCATTTAGCAACAGGAATAAGGAACAAAATACATTAAAAGAGAAAAAATATCAAAATTGTTGAGAAATAATCATTTATAATTATCAACTTCACTTGATAAAAAAAAAAATAAAAACTATCAAGATTAATATTTTAAAACTGAGGAATAATTTTAGTAAAATGAACATCATATAAATGAATGTATCACACATAATCATGATATTTTTTTTTTAAAAACTACAGCTTCATTTATTTGTAAACTTATATATCTGATATAAATCTTTTAAAAGTCAATTGGGTGATTTGGTCCAGTTGTTTATTCATTATGTCTTCTTATATTAAATATATGATTTTATCTCAAATAAATAAAGTTGCAATATTGTATAAATCTGTATCTTGGTCCAAAAGTCAATCAAGGGACCATAAATTAAAATTGCACATCTTTAAAGTTAACAAAAAAAAAAAAAAATTATTTTCTGGTTGTCAAAATACCTGTCACCTTTAAAATCTGTTGGTGGAAAAAAGTTTTTTTTTTTTTTTTTTTACTTATAAACAAAAATATACTTTTTTTTTCCTTACTCCAATATTTTTTGCAAAATTTCTTCTTACAACATTTTAGCCAGAAATCAATAAACAGATTTATTTTCTAGGGTTTACCCAGCCTCCAAAGGCTTTTTCAATTTCCCTAGCAACGGCTATAGTTATTCTATCAGATAAGAGGGGTCCAATGACTTGTACACCAAGTGGCAAACCCTCTTTATTCAACCCAAGAGGACATTGGGTAACTGGTAACCCAAGAAAGTTGAAGATGGCAGTATAGGAAAAATCAAAGCCAGTAAAAATTGGCTGATTGTGATAAGGAGCCACACGTGGGTGGGGTGGATAAAGCAATATACCACTGTCTCCAAGAAGTGCATTGAAATCTTCCCGTAGACTCTCACCCATCATCTTCAGTTTCTGGTCAGACGTGGTGGTATCAACGCGTTTCAGAATATACTCACTGACGCCAAGAGCAATCGCTGGCAGAGTGTGGTCTGATAAGAAGAACAACCATTTGACAAGTTCAACGACAGGATTAATGGAATGATTTCCATCATCCGACATGTAGGTGCAAAATTCCTGGCCAGGTGATGGGTCGGCAGACAGTCCAGCCATCCAAATCTCCAGGCTGTATTTCAACTTTGATAGACTAACAGGTTTCACTTCAATTTGATAAGTGTCCTTGAAATAGTCCTTCACCTGTAAAATAAATTATGGTATCAAATTACTATTTAACATGTGTCCAGCACAGTTTTCAAAATTTATTTGGCAAATATGGATAAACACCCCCACAATAAGACAGAGTGTCAAAAGAATGGTTTTTCCCTTGACACCACAGTTATTTTAACTACCTTCACTCCTTGACAATGTTTATTGATTTAGAAAGCAATGATTAGAATTGTAATAAAACCTAAATATATGATGAAAGTGAATTTAGACAATTGCCAATAAACTGCTTTATAAAATAGTAAATAAAGATTTCCTTATTGTTCGTTCACATATTTTAATAATTTAGTAAATGTTTGTAAATTTATGAATAAAAATTGTTTTCCCATTTATTTATTTATAAATTGCTAAATGATAAACATTGCATTGCATTATTTTTAATTGTATTAGAAAAATTTATTACATTTTAAATCTAAAAATTCTGTATTAATTTTATCCTTTTAGATGATATTATTAAGGAAAAACTATATATATATATATATATATATATATATATATATATATATATATATATATAAAAACCTTAGGTATCGACTTTTTTTGTAGATGTCCCTACTTAAAACTATGATTTTATTACATGTGTGTGTGAGAGAGAGAAAACTACTTCATCTATTATCCTAACTTCAAAGCATAAAATGTCATCATAACCCCAAACCACCATCAAATAATGGTATCTTATACCTTCAAAATGGCATCTTTAATATCTTCTTTCACTGGACTGGCCATAAGGCTTCCTCCATCATCCAACATATAAAAGATTTTTAAGGTTTTCAGGTCAACCTATAATGACAAAGGAAATATGTTAAAAAAAGGAAAAGAAAAAAGTATACATAGAAATCTAATAAAATTTGAAACTTATTTGCTTTATGAACTTGAACAGTCATGGAAAACAAAACTGTGCTGGTGTCCCATCATAGGAACCAGTAGTATTCACCTAACATTTTTGGGAATTTACCTTGATTTCTAATCAGATATGTCGTTACAGAGCACCCAGATCTGATTGGTGTTTGATTATTAACCAATAGGATCAGTAGAAACAAAAAAAAAGATCCATATGCCAACACTAAGTTCAATCGCAAATCTGTTTTAAACAGTCCAGCAGGCAATGTAGTAATGAAAAAAATGGGGTCAGAAATCCAACCTTCCCCTTGCAACAGCAGAAACACATTTTCACTCACCAAGATCAAAAATCGTTCTGTCTCTGTTAAGCAGAAAGCAACAGCCTTTATTCACTGAGCAATTTTTCTGACTGGCCACACCATTCAGGGAAGAAAGAACATTAGCATAATTTCTCTGATACTTAAATTGGCAGGTTTTGGCTAACTATTTTCTTTAATTTTCCTTCAGCAGATCACACACAAAACACAAACTCTTTTTCGAGGTTTGTGATCTTCTTTCATTATGTTGGGGAAAGAAAAATCAAAGCGGGAATACAAGAAGTGCATTTTTTAAAGACATCCAACAGCTTATGCTTTGATATGCTCTTATCATATTTTTTAAAATAGTTTTCACCTTTTTGAAGCAAAAAGTTCTGCACAATGAACAAAAATGAACTAAAATAAATACTAATATACTATTAATATAACATTTACTTTGAATATAAATATGTTATATGCATATCTCAAAATCATAAGTTTCTAGGCAAATTCTGCTACTGTATTTGAAATCGGCTTATTTGATTTGAGTACATCATCGTTTGTCTGGGTAGCAATTAATATAAAACAAAATCTCCCTAATCATCTACATAACACAAAATCCTGACATGCTTCTACAATTTTGTACATGCACAAGTAATCAGCATATTCAACTTAGACAAAAATGCATTTTTTCATCTGCAGTATCAAAAGCTTTATTACTCAATGTTATCATAATAGGTGAGATGGTATTTCATTAGTCAACAGAAGTAAACATGCAACTAATGTTCATTCATACCCAGCCTGCTGAGTCAGTCTGCCAATAGGCTCCATGCTATTTATTTGTACTCAATTATTATATGAGATTGTGTAGCAACAGCTCTGCAATCTTTTCAATGGCTCACAAAAATCAGTCACAGATTCTTGTATGACATGAAAATTTCTGTTATACTAGTTTAATCAAGATCTCTTTCCGATTCACAAATACATTTCACTAGACATGTCAACTTGAAATACAAAATACTTCTGCACAGAGGCTCCAAGCATCACATCAAGTCCACAAAACAAATCCTTGTAAAAATCTAAAATACAATAGCCAATCACAAATGTTGTTGTAAAATAAAAAAAAAAAAAAAAAAAGATGAGACTGGGGGGGGGGTCAGCACCTGTTAAACCACAGATATAAAAACTGCAACAGGCACTTCAGCTCAACTTCATCACCCAATTGGTGGCCCATCCACTGTGTCGTTTTCAACTGAAGATAGATGAATAGATCAACCCTGCCAATTACACCCTATTTGTTATACTCTGCTTCACTCTCCTGACACTGCTTCACACTCCTGTCAACCAACCTGCTACCCACACCCAGCCTTACCAACAACACCCTTACAGCTTACTGCTTCCCTTACCAATGGCAACTAAAAAATCACATATCAACGATTTTTGTTACCTTTTCATACAATTATGTATATATTCTTCACCTGATTAATACACTTTGTTGAAACTTTAATCCTTATATGTTCTTTCCTTTGCAACCAGATGCTCATTACAACATTTCAAAGCTGGTTTAATGGTAGTTGAATTGGAAGCTCATTCAAGAGGTTCATTGCTTAACACTTCATCAATTCTCTCTCTGACATGATTGGAATAAATTATAAAGTCTGCGAGAATATTTTAGCCTGAGAACTCTTGGATACCATCTAGAATAAACTTGGCAGCCCAAAGTCTCTGTTTTTATGTATAATTATTAGAATTGTGCTTGGCTCTCTCTTCATTAGTTTGCACGACCATTATACCCTACCAATACCTCATAAATAATGGATTATTCCATTTTGATTGCATGGAAAGACATGAAAACATGCTACTTGGTTAGATGAGTAAAAGGAAAAAAGAAAGAAAGGAGAGATAGAAGTGTTTAATGATTGTTTTAGGGAAATAGCAAAAATTGTCAATTTCAAATATTTTCATTTGTACCCACTTAAAATAACAACCAGCATTCATATTTATGATTGTTATTGAATATTTTCTGGCAATCAAATTCAGTTTGTTTACAGCAGCTACCACATGAGGATACTTTCTTTTTGCCTGAGGGTAAATCTGCCTCCCCCAGCAGTTTACAAGCACATAGTGTTTTTTCTCTTTGAGAATATATCTTTCCTAGATATAGAAAGAAACACCAGTTCGCAGTCCACAATTTGAGAGAACCCAAAACCTGATGTTTCCCCGTTTGAAGAATGTCCTCGTATGAGACATAGATGAATCTGGCCCGTTTGAATCTGGAGTTCTAAACATAGCTTCTCCAGACACAGGAGTATCTGCATATTATATGTAAGATCCTTCCTTTTTGTTTCTCCTTACACTCTGCTTTGCTGTATAGATATATTATTCTCCACATGAGGCATGTGTATATATGTACCATATATTTCGAATATCATGTGACCTCAGAAGACCTAATTTTGAAGATAATTTGACTACAGTAAATGTATATATAGTTTGATCAATGGCATAGTACATATACTAATTTTATATCTTGTGTATGATGCAACCCCCTTAAAATTAGCTTCAAAAGTCACATGATATATACTATATGTAGTCTTGTGTATGTCTTAGTGATATAAGAATCTCCCTAAGAACAAAGCATGTTTGTCATTCCTTTTCTTTTCAGCCATTCTGTTCCAATGTAACTACAATATTAATATATCACAGATATAACAATGCCCATAATGGGGGAAATACAAATGGAAGAATAAAGCTTTCTTCTCTAGCTGTGTCCCATTACAATATTATATATTACTCATTTTGTTATTATATCAGAAATATAATAATGCCCATAATGGGGGAAATATAAATGGGAGAATAAATCTTTCTTCCTTAGCTCTCTTCAGTTAAAGTAAGACCCAATCATTCTTTAACAAGTGATATATAACATTGCTTAAAACAATCTGAAAAGATCTCAAACCAATCTAAAAGAATGACCTAAGACCATGAAATGTACATTTCATGCTACATAATTTACCTGCAGTTCAATAGTGTTAGCACACTATTTCTCAAGTTTCTTTAATCCTTAAAAATAATAAAACTTCTTATGCTCAGACACTGAAATACTGTTCTGCTGCTGCTATTAAGTTTCTTACCTTACAAACTCTTTTTACAGTTTGTAAACAGGAAAATGTCAGATGAACCAAGAGCTGGTGAATAATCTATAAAATCAATCCCCTCCCCCACACCAAAATTTATTTTCTCACAAAATGAGAAAACATTTCGGTGGCTTCCCTCACCAGTTTCTATTTAAAAGATAGAGCAAAGAGTAATATTCTGCAGTAACTATTTGTCACCTGTGAAAATATTGTCATAAGAAAAATAAAAAAAACACAAACTTTGTTATTTGAAAATAAAATGTGTCCATAATCTTTTGGGTTAGCTTCTGGGTCTTGAATTCCCTTGGCTGTGATGAATATGAGGGTCACTATTATACGAGCTGCTGTTTGCTGTCTAGATCTGTGGTAGAATGATGTAACAGTGGATAAATCAAATAAATAAAAAAAATTACAAAATCTGGTCATTGAAATACATCTTTGCTGCTGCTATCCACCCCAAATCATAGAAATATTTCCACCCTTTTAAACTCTTTTCACAATCTGAAAACAGGAAATCATCAGATGGAGCTAGAGCTGAGAGAGTAAGGTGGATGGTCGATGAGATAAAACACAAAATTCTTTAAAAAATATGCATCATTTGGCTATTCCTATGAGTAGGTGTATTGTTCTGCAAAATGAAACAGCTTTTTTTTTTCTTTGCAGCTCATCAGTTTTCTTTTAATATCACCTTCAAACTGACAAGTTTCCATAGTATTCAGTTTGACCCTTTTGAAGAGAGTCAGTCATCAAATCAAAAACAAAAAAAAAAAAATTAAATAAAATAAAAAATAACTTGGCCATGATTTTTCCTGTTGACTTATGCTTTGAATTTTTCATTATTAAAGTTGGTTAGGGCGAGAACTTCCTTCACCTAAGATAAAAACAGCAACTTTTTCAAGATCAGTTTGCTATTTGTGGGGAAAATAGAAATGGCTTACCTCCCAAACGCCCTCATGTCTGTCTGGCCTGTGGGTTGAGAAAAGAAAGGGTCCAAAGATGGCGTCCGTGACTTTTTTTTAATATTCATGGTCTCATGCAGTTACATAAAAGTCGCGTTACGCATGCTAATGAGGTGTGTCTGGGCTCCATAAAAGCAGATCATGGCTTGGAGAAATTGGCAGAAGGGCATTACGCCCGTGTTGATAAATACATTGTTTTTGCGTTGTGTCAGACATTTTTCCGACCGGAAGAGTTGCATCCCTTACACTGTTGAATGTGACTCCATTGCTACACTATTGTAGACTAAAACTAACCTTAATTTTAAAAAACAGTGTCATAAATGAGCAAGAGCAACAAAAAAAGACAAGAAGCTGTGGAGAACCATGATCACCCAAGTTTTGAAGTTTGCCATATGTTCCAGTTTGAGGAATCTGTACTGGTATCCCATTAGAGATACAAGCTATTAGCATTTGTTTTTTGCATGTTAGCCCTGAAGCCTAAGGTGCTTTGGGTCATGAAAACACTATTATGCAAGAACCTAAGCTTTATGACAGTGTATGCTGGACAATTT